AAGCAGGTCTCAACGGTGAAGATGTAAAGTGTAGGCAAATCACCTGGGTTCAAAGCCTGGCTCTGCTTTTTACTTTCTGTATGACTTGGGCAGTTACTTAACCTCTCTGTGCCTCAGTTTCTTCATCTATAAAATATCACATACCTAATAAGTCTCTGTGAGGACTAAGAGAATATCTTGTAAAATGTTCAGCATGATACCTGGCACATGCACTTGGTGAAAGTTAGTTTCCAAAGCAAGACATTCTAAGTTAGCTCTTTCTGGGCCCTGAGCTAAAGTTTGTACAGTGAGGCAAAGCCAGACCCCTCCCTTAGGTGGGCACAGTTACAGCCCTGCTCTGGAGAATTTGGCAATAGCTTCCGATCTTCAAGGCCAAGTGCACATATGGCATTCAAATCCTTCCCCCAGGGAGCCTTTCCTGATTGCTTTGCCCACAAATCTCTCCTCCCAGCCTCTCAGGCTGTCAGGTAGCGCCCATGACCTCCCTCCCAAAGGCACCCCCTCCACACACACACACACACACCTCAGCCTGGCACAGAGCTGGGCACAGTGGGGCTCCAGGAAGACCTGTTAGCTGACACACTCACTGTGGGCTCCTGGTTCTGTGCCAGAAAGTGGCTGGCAATTCCTCAGTTCCCTAGAATTGGCCACAAAGTGGTGGCAGGTGTAAATCACCCCCTTCAACAGAACCAGGGCCCTAGGGAGCCTGGGAGGCCCCAACTGCCCTTTTGGCTCTGAATCTAGACCAGCAGCAACAGGGAAGGGGTTGGGTGCCTGTTTTCTCCTCCTCTCCCCAAGGAAGTGCAGATGAGATGCAAATATCCAGTGTACTTGGGGGTTGGTAGGAAGGAGACTGAGTCTGCAGTGATGGGACCAACACGGCAGGTGCTGTTATTCTGTGTCTGCTAAGGTTCTAGGAACTTTCAAATATTTTAAGTGGGTGTGGGGGAACGTTGGGGAAAGAGGATGTTTTTAGTGGCCCTAGCCCAGGCAGTTTTCGCCCAAATCTCTTCTGTGCTGAGTGTTGTGGTGGATACTGGAGCCTCTGAGGAACAAACCCTGGGCCCAGTTTGCAAGAGGAGAAAAAACTGGTTGCCCTACAATGGTGGCTGGGGGCAGAGGTGGCCCCAAAGTGAGGCGAGAGGGGGAAGATTTGTGCTGTGCTAGGTTCTCAGTGCTTCCCAATCCTCACCTCTCCCCTCCCAATTATTTGGCAAAAAAAAAAAAAAAACAACTGAAAAAACCCTGAGCCTCCCACCCCAAGTGCTCAGGGCCCATCAATACTCCACTCACCCTTCCTGGGGAACGCAATTAATGGACCCCAGGGCTTAAAGATTGATCTGATAGGAATCCTGAGGACTTAGGTGGGGAATATTAACTCCCTCCTCTCCAGCCCAACTCTGGGGACGCGAGTCCATCCCTTCCGGCCCCATGCTGGAGACTCCGTGCCCCTGGCCCGTGTAGACCACACTCACCAGCTCCATCCTCAGCGCCATGATCTTGTCCCCCAGGCTGTGGCCAGTGCTAGGCGCCCCCGGGAGCAGCAGGGCGCCAGAGGTTCCCGGCTCCCACTCGCCTCGCAGCCCGCGGAGCAGCCCTTCAGGGGTCTTCCTGCCCACCTTGCCCTCCACGTCTCGCAGGTCAGGCGTCTGGGACTCCGCAGTCCCCTCCATGCGGGCCTAAGCCTGAACAGGGTTGGGCGACCGGACGCCGGGATCCCGCTCCCAGGGGTCCTCCTTTCACAGCAGCTAGTGCAGAGCGGAACCGGTGGGTCCCCGCCCGCGCTGTGTGGGGGCGGGAGGAGGGCGCCGTAACACTCAGAAAAGCCGCGCAGAGGGTGTGTATGTGTGTGTGTGTGTGTGTGTGTGTGTGTGTGTGTGTGTGTGTACATTCGAGTGCTGCGCACACACCTCTGGCTCCGGAATGGGTGAGGCTGGGCGATGCTGGATGTGCACCTGAAAGAGCTCAGCGCCTTCTCCTGACTCTGGCTCCGGAATGGGTGAGGCTGGGCGATGCTGGATATGCACCTGAAAGAGCTCAGCGCCTTCTCCTGATTCCGGCACTTAGTCCAGCCAGGCACTCAGCAGGTGCCCAATGAATGTTTGCTGAGTGACGTTAAGCATCCTCAGTTAGGGAAGTGGGATTTTAAGGAACATTGGTAACAGAACTACAGAGGGTTTTGGAAGGCTTCCTGGAGTAGAGGAGCTGGATCTAAAACAGTGCTTGGAATTTAGCTAGCCACTGATACACACACACATCCAGTGTAGCCACTAAATGTAGACTAAAGGAGCAACCAGTATTGAAGCCGAAGAGGGCTACATCATGCTTGATCTTGTAAACTGATGCTTCTTAAACTTGACTGCGCATACATGAATTATCTGGGAATCGTTAAAATGCAGATTACAATTCTGTAACTCTGGGGTGGGGCCTGAGATTCTGCATTTCTAACAAGTTCCCTGCTGATGGCCATGCTGCTGGTCCAGGGACCACACTTTGAGTAACAAGGTTATAAAAGATGGTTCTAAGGTGCTGGGATTTTATTCTATGGGCAATGATGATCCCTAAAAAGCATTTTATGCTTTGGCTTGATTTTGTTTTTCTTTTTTTTTGCGGTACGCGGGCCTCTCACTGTTGTGGCCTCTCCCGTTGCGGAGCACAGCCTCCGGACGCGCAGGCTCAGCGGCCATGGCTCACGGGCCCAGCCTCTCCGCGGCATGTGGGACCTTCCCGGACCGGGGCACGAACCCGTGTCCCCTGCATCGGCAGGCGGACTCTCAACCACTGAGCCACCAGGGAAGCCCCTTGATTTTGTTTTTTAATCCAAGTAATTCCAGCCCATGGTTACAGAAGGATTTATAATGAAAAGATAGTTACCGCAACCTATTCTTTCCCACCTCTAGTCCCACTCCCCAGAGGCAACCACGTTCAGCTATTTTTTCCTGGTGTTTATACTCATAACTCCACAATAGACTTATACCACTATGTCTTAATTTTAAACATTGTCTACTGACTTCCTATTATGATAAATAAGATCTACCTCACACTCTGTATTTCCTTCTTCCATTGGCCCTATACATTTCTATCATTATTTTTTAGCTTGTTACCTTTGTAATTTTAAGTAACCTACTTTTCCTTAGTATGCCTTGAACCATGGAAGGGTTTTAAATCAGAGATTTACAAAACAGATTTGCCTTTTTGAAAAAATACTCTGGATTTTGCAAGGAGAAAGAATTAAAGGGGTAAAAATCTGGAGTCATGGAGACCAGCTAGAAGATAAGAAACTAAAATGGCCTGGACAGCGGCTGGTGGTAAGGTTGGAAAAGAATTAGACCTGAATGGAGGAGGACTCTTTAGGAGGTAAGATTGACAAGACTTGGTGACCAGTAACATTCATTTGTTTATACTGGCATTTGATAAATATTTGTCCAGAAAACGAATGATTTCAAAAAATATTATGGAGAATCTCCTATCTTCTAGCCGTTGTATGTGGTACAAAGAATACAATGGTGAGCAAACAGACCTGGACTGGTTGCTGGAGAGAGACAAGGAATCGAGGGTGACTCCCAGCTGTTTGATCTGATGCCATTCATGAAGGAAGGGAACACAAGAAGAGGACTGGGAGTGAGAAGAGTTGATTCTAGCAGGAGCTATGTTGAATTGGAGGGACCTATGAGAATGTCCAGCTGGTAGTTGAACACAGGTCCGCCTGGAGCTCAGGAGAAAGGCTAAGTCTGCAGATATGAGTTTAGGAATCTAGATGGTCAGAGAGCTCATGAGAGTGGATGAGATCTTCTGTGGAGAGGGAGTTTGAGGAGAGAAGAGGGTCAGGGAGGAAGCCTGCGGGACACCTTTCTAAAATGCCTTTTAAAAATGTGTTGGGATTTCTTCTATTCTAACACATACTTATTAGGAGAAATCACTGATTGCCTCAACTACCGAGACAAGCACTGTTAACATTTTGGGGATACCATCCCACCATTTCAGGAAGCAGATGGAATATGGAGAGCTCAAAAAAAATCTAACCTATCTTCTGGCTTCTTCTGTCTCCCTTTCATCTGTTATCCACAAAACAGTAAATGTTCTCTTAAATTGGATTATGTTGCTTCCCTGCCTAAAACTGTGCCATGGCTACCCACTCACTTCAAATAAGCATCACCGTCACCTAGAAACTTTTTCGAAATGCAGTATTCTGCTCTGCCCCAGACTCCTGAATCAAAAACTCTAAGAATGGGGCCCAGCAATCTGTTTTAACAAGTCCTCCAAGTGATTCTGATGCAAGCTAAAGTTTGAGAACCACTGTGTTAAGCTAAGTGCTTCACATGTGTTAAACTCTATAAGTGTTATTATTGTCAGTATAGTGAGGGGTTAAGAGTGGAATCTGGAGCCAGGCTGCCTGGGTTTGAATTCTAGCTTTACCAACTTCATGATATTGGGCCTCATTTTCTTTGTCTAAAAGATTGGGATAGTAACAGTACCTACCTCATGGAGTTGTTGTGGAATTAAATTAGTTAATATAGTAAGATGCTTACTTAGAACAGTGACTGCCATGGAGTGTCATATGAGGTCATACTCATTTCACAGAGAAGGGAACCTGGGCTGAGACGTGAAGTGACTTGTCCAAGGTCTAGGTGGGTGGTAGAACCAGGTTTTCAATTCCCCCGTAGTCTGCAGTGGCCTCGCATGCTCTAGACCTGGGTGCAGGCTTGCCCAAGCAAAGGGAGGGGTATCTGGGTCCGAGGCCTGTAGCCCCTCTGACCCTGGCGTGCCCTGCGGTCTACTCCAAGGCTCTAGGACTCCGACCCCAATCGGGTTTGCCACCACGCAGTGTTGGGAGCGGGGAAGCTGCTCTCCCCCAGCCGCCCACCCGGCCAGCAAGCTGCAAGGCAGCCGAGGCACCGAGCACTACCGCTACTCGCTGGGGGAAGACACCAGCCACCGCCCTAAGCGCCTCCCGCCGCCCTCTCACCCCGCGGCGGCGGCGGCGGCGGCGGAAGCGGGGAGGCGGGCCGCCCGGGCCGGGGCGGGGCCGCGAGCGGCATGGAGGAGGCGGAGGCCGCGGAGCGCCGGGCCGAGCAGTGCGGGCCCGAGCGGGGCCCGAGCGGGGCCCGGGCCCCCTGAGCCGTGAGTGTCTCTGGGCGGGGGTCCGGGAGGGGTGGCATGGCCGGGGCGAGTCCCCGAGTGCTGGGGCGGCCCAAGGCGCGGGAGGAGAAGAGCAGGGCCAGATAGGAGGGGGCGAGGGCGGAAGGGGGTGGAGAATGGGGGGGGGGTCGCTGCCCTTCGCTCACCCTAGGACTAAGAAGGCCTGGGGCTTGGTTCTTTTAGGGACTGATGAGCCTTGAGAGCCGATTATTTGGCCTCCAGCCTTGGGACAATGGGCAGTCCTGTCAGTTTCCCCAGCCCCAGGGGAGTTTCCAGGTGATCTGATCCCTCTGAAGGTTTCCTTTCCAGAGAAGTTGAGCCACTTTTCCCAGGTCACACAGCATGGATGCTGCAAGGATGAGTTACTGGGGGGTTCTCCTTCATCTCCCCAAGAAAGCATCAGACTTTGGGAGGAAAACTTTACCCCACATGACCCTCTGGTCTCCTCAGATTCCTGAAGGCATGGGTTGGCCAGGACAGTGGTGACCCCCCAATCCGGCATGGACGACTGGAAGCCCAGCCCCCTCATCAAGCCCTTTGGGGCTCGGAAAAAGCGGAGCTGGTATCTTACCTGGAAGTATAAACTGACCAACCAGCGGGCCCTGCGGAGATTCTGTCAGGTATAGAGGTGTCCCATACCTCCCAGGGGCTCCCTCCCAGCTTTACCCCAGCCTAGACTATGGGTACTGGAACCTACCTTGGCTGCCCCCACCCTGGAAAGAGGGTGGGAAACCTCTTTGTCTCGTGTCCCTACCAGGTAGTGGGTTGGGTCCAGAGTTCTGGAATCAGAACCCAAGTACAACCTCCTAGGCTTCTGACAAACCTGAAGTTGGATCAGGAAGGCTTTGCCCAGGACCCACACCTGTCAGGCAGTCAGGGCTAGGACCCAGGTCTTCTGATCCCCAGCGTGGTTCTCTGGGACTGGCTCCATCTCTAGGAACTAATTGTGGAGGAACCAAGGGAATCAAGGCTCAAATGGAAGAATACAGGAGTTCTGGGTAGGGAGCGCCCTGATGAAGGGGGAAGGGTCAGGGGAGGGTCCCTGAAGGAGGTGGTCGTGAAACTGAACCCAGGTCTGGGGGAGTAGAGCTGGTCAGACAGAGGGAAGAGAGGCAAAACCTCACAGGTTCTCCCTGTGTCATCACTTCAGCCAGAGCCCTCCTTTCAGCAAGACGTGCAGTGATCTTTAGGGGGTGCCCCTCTTTAGTTGTCCCCACCCCTCCCGTCAGACAGGAGCTGTGCTTTTCCTACTGGTGACCGTCATTGTCAACATCAAGTTGATCCTGGACACGCGGAGAGCAATCAGCGAGGCCAATGAAGACCCGGAGCCAGAAAAAGACTATGGTAGGACCAGACTGAGGATGGGATTGGTGGTGGAGGGGGCGTCCCCTGGGATCCTGTGGCTGAAATGATGGGCAGATCCCAAGGGGTGAGACACTGCTGGAGGGACTATCTCCATGACCTGTCACACACCCACAGATGAGGCCTTGGGCCGACTGGAGTCCCCACGGCGCAGAGGCAGTGGTCCCCGACGGGTGCTGGATGTGGAGGTATACTCAAGCCGCAGCAAAGTGTACGTAGCAGTGGACGGCACTACGGTGAGTGGGCTGGTGTCTAGTGTACGGTCACTGCATTCTACTTACGGTGTGGTCTGCTGGCTCTGGGTCCACTGCCCGAGTGGGAACTGCAGCTCTGCCAGTTTCTAGCTGTGTGACTTCGGAGGCCTCAGTTCCTCATCTGTAGACTGGGACTAATGATTTCTGCTTGTCAGGATTAAATGTAAGCTATGTGAACTGTATTATATGTAGTGGGATATTATCAAAAGTGATCAGTAGTATTAGTAGGCAGTTAATTCAGTGATTTATTTATTTCGTGGTCCCATTTATTTATTTATTTCCTGGTCCCTTCTTTGGCTTCGGTCTTGTCCTGGACGCTGGGAACCTGGAGGTAGTCAGCCCTGGCCCTACTTTGAGGGGTCCATCTGTGAGACGGTGATACCTCCAGCATGAGGCTGAGATAGTCAAGGGCTCTAAGAGTCGTGAAAGCTGGCGGGGGGTCGGGAGGTGTTGTAGAAAGATGGGATCTCTTTTGATGGGGGTGCTATGGAGGCTTCCTGGAAGAGATGGCCTTCAGGCTGGGTTGGAAGAGAACTGTGTGAACAGAAGCAGAGGAAGGAGGGGAGGTTTTGTTTCATGCAGCTGTTTTTTTTAAGTGCCCATAAGACAGAGAGACCTCAAATGCCAGAGTGAAGAGTTTGACCTTGTCTCTGCTACCCTGTAGGTGCTGGAGGATGAGGCCCGGGAGCAGGGCCGGGGCATCCATGTCATCGTCCTCAACCAGGCCACGGTGAGGTTCTAGGGGTAGGGGACCTAGAGGGCCAAAGCTGAGCCCTCCTTGCTGGTGACACTAACTCATGAGAGGTGTGTCTCCTGCCAGGGCCATGTGATGGCAAAGCGGGTGTTTGACACGTACTCGCCTCATGAGGATGAGGCCATGGTGCTGTTCCTCAACATGGTGGCACCTGGCCGAGTGCTCATCTGCACCGTCAAGGTCAGTGACTCTGCCTTGGCCCCATTCCCAACACCCCTAGCTCCAGCCCTGCTCATGGCCCTGGGTTCTGTGCCCCTAATATGGCATAGTGGCAAGAGCCTCTGGAGGAAGGTGACCAGGTTCCAATCCTATCCTTGTCAATGGAGAGCAAGACAGAGTCCCTACCCTTATGGAGCTTACACCAATAGGGCAAGAGCAACAAAAAGCAGCCAAATAAATCTACCATGTCAGGAAAAGATAACTTGTATGAAGAAGAAAATTAAGCAAGGGAGACAGGGTGATGGGGGTGCATTTTAGAGAGGGGAGGCCTCTGTAAGGACAAGACCTGTGCACAGAAAGCTGGAGGAAGTGAGGAGTGAGCCATGTGAATATCTGGAGGAAGAGCATTCTAGATAGAAAGAATGGCAAGTGCAAAGGCCCTGAATTGGTAAGGTGCTTGGTGTGGAACAGCCGGGCTGCCAGTGGAGCTGGAGTAGAATAAGGGAGGGGAGGAGAAGGGTGATGAGAAGAGGGCAAGGAGGTAGCAGGGGACAGAGGTGCAGACTGTGTGGGATCATGTTAAGGACTAATTAGCCTAGTGACCTTGGGTGATTCTCAGAATCTGTCTAAGCCTTTAATTATCTGTGAAATGATAGAAACCACAAAGGCTTGTTGTGATAGTTTAATGAGCTAATTTAAGTAAAAGGTTTTACATGGTGCTTGACATGTAGTTAGTGTTCCCTGATGCTAGGTCTGCTGGAGCTGTGCCAATCAGGCTGACCACCTTTTCTGGTCTCCCAGGATGAGGGCTCCTTCCACCTCAAGGACACAGCCAAGGCTCTGCTGAGGAGCCTAGGCAGCCAGGCCGGCCCTGCCCTGGGCTGGAGGGACACCTGGGCCTTCGTGGGACGAAAAGGAGGTGCCAGGACCGTAGGCCATCCGCCCTGTAGTATGAAGGGGCTGAGAGGAGCAGAACTCCAGGAGATGGGGTGGGCTGGGGGCAAATAGGAGTCGGTGGTGGTAGGCTGGATGAAAGTGGGCCGGGAGATGGGAAGAAGCTCCAGAACTGCAGCCTGGGCCCCCATTGCCCCTCATTTCTGCCCCCTGCCAGGTCCTGTCCTCGGGGAGAAACATTCTAAGTCACCTGCCCTCTCCTCCTGGGGGGATCCAGTCCTACTGAAGACAGATGTGCCGCTGAGCTCAGCTGAAGGTGGGGTTAGCGGGCGCTGGGCTCCAGGGCAGTGCATGGGCTGGGGATAGGCATTTGGGTTCTCTTCACGGGACTCTATTCTTGACTGGGTGCCTGGTGTTCTCCAAACCACACTGGCCTCATGCCCTCATCCTGTTGACCTCATCCCTCCCTCAGAAGCAGAGTGCCACTGGGCAGACACAGAGCTGAACCGTCGCCGCCACCGCTTCTGCAGCAAAGTCGAGGGCTATGGGAGTGTGTGCAGCTGCAAGGACCCCACACCCATCGAGTTCAGCCCTGACCCAGTGAGTGGGGCCTTGGGCAGCGAGGCCCGGACTCCTTCCCAGCTTGGCAAGGGGCCCCAGGAAAGGTCCAGGTTGGGCTTTCCCTGCCCCAGCCTGGGAGGGAACCGGGAGCTGAGGATTTATGCTGAGCTCTGAAAGACGGGGCGTCTTGGTTGTGGGGAAGGAGCAGGCCATGTGAGCGAAGGCCTAGAGTTGGAGTTGGGCTGAGTGTGTGGAGGGGCCAGGACAGGGAAGACCCTCTGCCTTTTCCCTTGCGTCTCCCTCTCCCTCAAGACTCTTCCCTGGGTGGGGATCCCAGTTTGAAGAGAGAGTGAGGCAAGAGCTGAACACTATTTGTCCCTCAGCTCCCAGACAACAAGGTCTTCAATGTGCCTGTGGCTGTCATTGCGGGGAACCGGCCCAATTACCTGTACCGGTGAGCCTGGGAGGGGGCTGTATCCAGCACTGAACAGGAGGGTGCTCAGTGGTGGGAACCCGAGGCTCATGTACCTGCAGGGGGAACTCTTGAGGTGGGCGGAATGGAAACAGATTCTAGGTGCATTCACCTTTGGGGGTGAACATGGAGAATCTGGGCCCATCTGTAAGCACAGGGGAGTCCTGATTTGGGGGGACAAAGAGGCCTAATCCAACCCTGGGCTCCCCAGGATGCTGCGCTCTCTACTCTCAGCCCAGGGGGTGTCTCCCCAGATGATAACAGTTTTCATCGACGGCTACTATGAGGTGAGTGGGGCTTGGGGGCTTTGGGCAGAGCAGAGTGCAGGGTTGCTGGTGCTGAGTAGCAGTGATCACAGAGGACTGGCAAGGGAGACAGCCCGGGCAAGGGCCACGAAATGTGCAGGGCTTGGCGTGTCAGAGCCTACAGGGGTGGGCAGGGGGCGGGTGGCTCACATGATGACCAGCGGCCATGCCCCTTAGGAGCCGATGGATGTGGTGGCGCTGTTTGGTCTGAGGGGCATCCAGCACACTCCCATCAGCATCAAGAACGCCCGTGTGTCTCAGGTACCGCCTAGGCAAGGATGGAAGGGGTGGACACCTGGCCCCACTGTCCACCCCAAAGCTCATGTGCCCTATTCCTACTCCCCACCCAGCACTACAAGGCCAGCCTCACTGCCACTTTCAACCTGTTTCCGGTGAGTAGTAAAGACAAAACTCTTGGACCTAGAGAGGGGAAACATGGGCATAAGTCTGGTCTTGTTATATAGCAAGCTCTTCCTCTCTCTGGGTCTCATCCTCCTGATGTGGAAAATGGGGGTAGTGCTGCCTGAGAAGTGGGATGGAGGTGGAAGAGACGGGATGAGAAAGTCCCCCTTGGGATCATGTTGTCCCCCACCCCCTACAGGAAGCCAAGTTTGCTGTGGTTCTGGAGGAGGACCTGGACATCGCTGTGGATTTTTTCAGGTGAGGGAAGTGTCCCTCCATGCAGCTCCAAGCTGTGTAGCCTCTGTGCATGACTGGGTCTCCAGGGAGGAAGGCAATGAGGGGTCTTGGAAAACTTTCCAGAGGAAGCAAGCTCCGAAGTGGGGAAAAAGCCTGAGCAAAGGTGGGCTGGTGGGGGTTGGGGCTGGAGTAGAGAGTAGAAAGGATGAATGGAGACAGTGGGGCTCTGGGGGAAGGAGGCATGACTCTGGAGTCCCATCTCCAGTTCTTCCAGCATCACTGTGTGACTGGGTTTGTCCTTGCCCCTCCCTGAACCCCTGGACCCTGCCTCTCAGTTTCCTGAGCCAATCCATCCACCTGCTGGAGGAGGACGACAGCCTGTACTGTATCTCTGCCTGGAATGACCAGGTAGGCTGAGTGGCCAGGGGTCAGCTGCGGAGTTGGTAGAGGCCCCGAGCTAATACCTCCCATCACGGCCCCCTGTCCCCAGGGGTATGAACACACAGCTGAGGACCCAGCACTGCTGTACCGCGTGGAGACCATGCCTGGGCTGGGATGGGTGCTCAGGAAGTCCTTGTACAAGGAGGAGCTTGAGCCCAAGTGGCCCACACCGGAAAAGGTACCCTGGCAGGGTAGGGTGAGTGGGCTGAAGTCCCCTACCAGCTTGGAACCTCGTAACTCTCAGAGTCTTCCATGCCCCCAGCTCTGGGACTGGGATATGTGGATGCGGATGCCGGAGCAACGCCGAGGCCGAGAGTGCATCATCCCTGACATTTCCCGGTCCTACCACTTTGGCATCGTTGGCCTCAACATGAATGGCTACTTCCATGTGAGTGGGAGGCAGGGGTGTTGGGGCATAGGGCACAGTGTGGTAAAAGGGGCAAGAACATGGACTCGAGCGACCCCAGCTCTGCCACTCACTAGCCATGTAGCCTTAGGGAAATTACTTACCTTCTTTTGCCTCAGTTTCTTTATTTGTGAAATGAGGATAAAAATACTCCTACCTCATAGGGTTGTGAGGTTATGAGGTTTAAATGAGTTAATATGTATAATATGTTTTGGACTGTAAACATTATATAAGGATTAGCTGGTATTATTTTTATCATTACTATTTTTAGCACTAGACTGTGGGTGTGGGGAGCATATTTCGGCTGCCACGCACTCGTCCAGCCCAGCAAACTCTGCCCTCTCCTGTCCTTGCAAGTGCTGAGGCCTAAGCCTCAGCCTGAAGTGAACAGAGAGGGCCCCAGGTCCCCACCCCTTCATCGCTGTGTCCAAAGGGCCACTCCCCAGTTATAGCCAGGGAGGCCTTGAGACAACCCAGTGTAAAGAATGGAGAGTTTCCAGCTTGGAACCTCCTAGAAGCCAGAAGGGCCTTCAGAGGCTGATTACTACAAGGCCCCCACTCATCTCCGAGAGGGACGGGGAGTGACCTCATGTCCTTCACCCTTAGTACCTTAGTCATAGCAGTTTTCTCCCTCCCAGTCCAGCCTGTCCCTTTGCAGGGGCCATTCCTGGCTTCTGTGGCCCTAGAACAGCAGGCCCAGGGAGCGCCACTGGGGACAAGGACTAGCTCAGGGGTCAGTAGCATGAGATGCCAGTATGAGCATGAGCTCTCTGGCAATGGTGGAGCCAGAGGGACCTTTATAGATCTAGGACTTCATTTGTGGGCCTCGTGGATGTGTGGTGGGTCAGCAGGCAGGTGTGGGCCAGACAGTGTAATGCCCTGATTTTCACCTTCACGTCCGTTCCAGGAGGCCTACTTCAAGAAGCACAAGTTCAACACGGTTCCAGGTGTCCAGCTGAGGAACGTGGACAGGTGGGGGCTGGGGACGGCCAAGGGGAGGATATTTAGGGGCCTTGATAACCAGTGCCTGACAGGCCCTACTAGCCCTACGGTCTGTGTGTTTACCCCAGCCCTGCTTCCCCCCAATCTCCATGTCATCCCTTGAGGGGCTACTCCCTCCCCTGACCCATTTCTCCCTCTCCTTTAGTCTGAAGAAAGAAGCGTATGAAGTGGAAGTTCACAGGCTGCTCAGGTATGGCCTAGGGCAGTGGGGTATATGAGGCAGGGGGTAAGGAGAAGTCAATACTGGGAGTCTTGGTCCCATAATTTGTGGGGCCCACTGCAAAATGAAAACCAGGCTCCCTTGTTCAAACATTATTAAGTGGGACTTCCCTGGCAGTCCAGTGGTTAAGACTCCACACTCCCAATGCAGGGGGCACGGGTTTGATCCCTGGTTGGGGAACTAAGATCTCATGTGCCGTGGCCAAAAAATGCCAAAAAACAACAAATGTTAAGAATTCCAAGATGGCAGCAGTAGAGCATTAAAAGCACAGGGCCTGTGTGACACACTCATGAGGTAGGCCCTGTCTTGGCCTTTCTCCCCCACTCCCTGCTACAGTGAAGCTGAGGTTCTGGACCACAGCAAGAACCCTTGTGAAGACTCTTTCCTGCCAGACACGGAGGGCCACACCTATGTGGCCTTTATCCGAATGGAGAAGGATGATGACTTCACCACCTGGACCCAGCTTGCCAAGGTGCCTCAATACCACACCTACCCCAGGAATACCCCTCCCCAAGATACAAGGAGCCTTTCTGGAATCTTCCACCTCAGAACCTTCTCTTCATACTCTCAGAGCCTCTCTTCTAAGCCCCTTTACAAATCCATATTCTTGAAGATGCTACCTCTTGCAAACTGAGGAGGCTGCTGAGGAGAGGGGGTTGGCCAAGGGCCCTCCCCACAGCTCTCCGACTCTTGCCTTTGCCCCACCCCACCCCCACCAGTGCCTCCATATCTGGGACCTGGATGTACGTGGCAACCACCGGGGCCTGTGGAGATTGTTTCGGAAGAGGAACCACTTTCTGGTGGTGGGGGTCCCAGCCTCCCCCTACTCGTGAGTGACTCTATTCTGTCCTTGGAAATGGAAGACTAGTGGGGTTAGGGGACGTAGCTAATGACCTCCTCCCTATTCGTTTTCCTGTTATCTTCCCAGAATGAAGAAGCCACCATCAATCACCCCAATTTTCTTGGAGCCACCCCCAAAGGAGGAGGGAGCCCCAGGAGCTGCAGAACAGACATGAGACCTCCTCCAGGACCCTGCAGGGCTGGGTACTGTGTGCCCCCAGGCAGGCTAGCCCTTCACCCAATCCTGTAGGGTTTTGTAGACACTCTCAGGGGCTGGGGCTGGTTTGTTTTTAACATGAGACTTAATTACTAACTCCCAGGGGAGGGTTCCTCTGCTCCAACATCCCTGTTCCTGAGTTGGAGGTCTATTTATTCACTTCCTTGTCGGGAAAGGGCAGGATAGTACCTGGGAATCTTTGGGATCCCTGGGCAGCTGATCCTGCCCTTTGTATACTCCCTCCTCCCAGGCCTGGCTCAGAATCTAACCTATTTATTGACTGTCCTGAGGGCCTTGGAAACCGGCGGAAGCCTGTAGGGCCTTGATTTTTTTTTTTGGACTGGGGTGCTGCCCTGAGGGTGGGGCAGGCTCTTACTCAGGAAACTGCTGTGCCCAACCCATGGACAGGCCCAGCAGGGGCCCACCTGCTGATGCAGACTCACTCAGAGACCCTCAGACACTGAACCAGGCCTCTTTCAGCCTCCTCTTTGTCCAGATTTCCAAAGCTGGATGAGGTGGTCATTGATTAAAAAAGGAGAAAAGCTCTGGGGATTGTCTTGTGACTCTCTGTGTGTGTGTGTGTGTGTGTGTGTGTGTGTGTGTGTGTGAGAGAGACAGACACACACAGAGACAGAGACAGAGAAAGAGAGAGAGATGGGTGGCAGAGAGGATGGTCATGATGGATGATGGGTTTTCTTTACTGTCCTCCACAGGTTTATCTTCCATTTGGGGCCATTTGGCCAGCAGGGGATGCCCAAGTCTCAAACTCCAATGTTTTTACCCTAGAACAACAGAGCCTGACCTTTGCCCCACCCTACTTGGGGCTGAGCTCAGAGCGGCCACCCTATACCCCATTCCCACTGTTTAATTAACCATCAGGCTGTTTTCTGCCTAGCTCGTGTCTGGGCCAGGGCACCTGTCCCCAAAAATGGAGCAAGAGAGAGCACAAAGGGATACCTGGGGATGGGGGCGGGGGGCGGTGATAGAGAGCAGGTGAGTATAGTGGAGGTGGGAAGGAAGTGGATGAGACAGAGCTGAATGGGCATCATTCAGGAAGTGAGGACTGGGCTGCCGGTGGAGACATAGGAACAAGGATGTCTATGGTCCTTAGGGTACTTTGTATGTAGACTCCATATCTGGGCATTTTTCTGGAGAAAAGCCATCATTTTCATCAGATCACCCAACCAGTGATCCAAAGAAGTCAGGAAGATCTAAGTTGGTCACGCTAGCACCAGAAAATGGATGAGATTGTCCAGAGGAAGTGGTTGAGATAGCCCAAGGCACAGGGCATGACATTTAAGGAAACTGTGAAGGACTTAGGTTCAAGAGAGTAAGTGTAGGACACTTGGAGAAGGGGTCTGCCTGCAGAGCCCTTGCAAAGTGAGCCTCATGAGCTCCTTATGTAGAGCCTTGGCCAGGGAGGCAGGAGCTGGCTGGAGCTCTGCCCTGTCACCAGCTCTCTGCCCTTGCCTCTCCAAGCGGTGCCTGGAGCCCCGCTCGGCGATGGCACGGGTGGTGTGTGGCTTCAGTGTTTGCTGGAGGTAGAGATAGCGCTTGAGGTGCCACAACAGCCAGGTTGAGGAACAATTAGTTCATAATGAGGTGGAGGAGGCCCACCCAGGGCAGACAAATCCCTTGTAGTCTCTATACAGGTGCCTGGGGGTGGGGTAGTGTGAGAGGCATAGAAAGGTGGTAAAGGTGGGAGGGGGCTAAGTGCTCTACCTGCCCATCCTCCCAGCAGGCTGCTGATCTGGGCCTCACAGGCCAGCTCTCAGGCACTGCACTGCACCGGCTAGGTCGCAGTTCCTTTTTGGATTCACGAGGGTGATGGATCTGGGTTGCCCTAGTAAAACCGGGGAAGAGGAATCCAGGGCTCAGAGGCAAGCAAGGAGGACTGGTTTGCCAGGCTGGGCTTCGCCTGGTAGTAGACACCATATCCTTTGGCCACAGCCTCCCACCCTAGTGCTATGTCTCCTGCAGCAGCAATCAGATCTATGTCTGGGACATTCTGGCCTAAAAGTAAGTCATGTTCCCATGTCAGCCAGGATCCCACCCGGCTCTGGAGTCAGATGTCCCGGACCCACATCCAGGCTCAGCTCTTCATGGGAGGTTGTGGGCCTGGAACAAGTCACTTGGCCTTTCTAGGCCCAGTTTCTGGAACATGGGGGTGGTTAAGACTCGATAAGAGATCAAATCTATAGAGCCCTGGGCAACAAAGACCGAGAGTAAATGAAATTCTTTCTGAAGTCCCCAAAGCAGGGACAGGTCGGGGGCTGTGCCTGCATGAGAAGGGTAGGCAGCTTGGGTCCCCTGATGGGGGCTTCCGGAGGGCTTCCCAGAGCCTAAGGAATGACCCTCTTCCATCGCCCTGGCAATATTTCGGCTCTCCCTGCCCCCACTTGGGCACAAGCTTTTTATTTTCATAGCTTTCCAGCCCAGTGCTCCTACCCAGGAGAGGGCAGTTTCAGGCCAAAGTCCTCCCACATTATAGGACTGCAGACTGGCTCAGCCCCTGCTTCCTCCCTCAGTGTCCTCTTGGCCATCCTTGCTAGGCTCCCTCCCATTCCTGGCATCCGAATGAAGGTGAGAAATAGCCACCCACCTCCGTGCTACTTCCATTCTGCTACATTTCTGGGAGCCTTCTGAGTCAATAGCCCCACAGGAATCTGAGGCCTGTTGAGGCATGATGGGTCCCTCTCCTGAAGGATACACGAAAAGAGTCCAAATGGAAACATTTTAATGGGTTTTTGAGTTCTGAAGTGCTTTCTACACATCTGCCTGGTGACTGCTGATTTTGCATATGCTCGTGTTATCGGTGCAGTGCCTTTAATCCCCCCTGTGGAGTACTGGGATCACCAAGAGCACCCCACCCCCCTGGCCTGAGAGAGTATCAAGGGTTTAAGAAACAGACTGGAGGAATGGGCAAGAGGATTGGCTACCTTAGAGGCTCTGAAATAGGTGGACCCCAACATCACCAATGGAAGGACAAGTCTGGCACAGGTTCAAGGGGGTGCTGCCTATTTGGCCCCAGGCCCACTCCAGCCCAAGTGACACTGTTAGATCCTGTCTCCACGCTGATCACTGCCTCTTGGCAGTGCTGGGGTGCCCCTTCCCAGTTCCTGTATGGCAGCAGCAGTGGCGGAGGCAGAAGCCGACTTATTTCAGATTGCAGTACAGATACATGGACACAATCATGGCAGCCAGCTGATGAGAAAGGAACAGGCAGAGAGGAAGAAACATGATCAGGGTCCTTAAGCTTTAGTCCCCTGGCCCCCAGACATTCAACATGAAGTTTTGTTAGAAGTCTGTCTCTTCCAGAAAGGCCTCAGACATGGATCAAGCAGCCCTGAGCCCATGGGGATATCCTGCCCCAACCTCCTCCCCTCCTTACCTCTAAGCCCCCAATTCCAGCTGCCACACCACCCACGGTAACTGCATTGGTTCTGATGTCATACAGAAGCTGATTGAAGCAACCCTTGGAGGGGAGAGAGCATCTATAGTCAGCAGCTGCCCCCACTCACATTCAGCTCTCCGGGGCCATTAAAGCAGCCCAACCTCCCAGGCCAACCTATACCTCTACTTTCTGGTTCTGGGCCTCGACACTAGTGCAGGGTTCCACAAATGTGCCATTGTCACGGTCAAAGCAACAGTATGGGGGAAAGACGTTGTTCTCTTTTACATAGGGAGAGTCCTCAAAATCTGTGTAGTTGGTGAAGCCACAGCACTTGAGCTGAAGATGAGGAGAAGAGATGGTCAGTGGGGCCTTGCTTATTTCTCCTCACCCCAAAATCTCCCCCAGCCCACCTTACCCCTTCCATGGTGGAGTTCCACACTTGGGTGAAGTCTTTTTGGGAACCGTACTTTTTCTTGATGGTGGGCACTACCATCAACGTCAGGAAGTTCTCAGCCTGGGTGGGGAAAGTCAGTGTTTAGGGCCTGGTAGGGAGGGTGGCCATTCGCAGTGCTTTGCCCAGTTGTTCCCCCCTTGCCCCATCCCCGCTCCTCACCATTGTGGTGTACACCAAGGCAACCACGGCAGCTGCAACCTCAGCAATGAAGATGACGAGGAGGATGAAGAAGAACTGAGTGGAGAACAGGGATCTTGAGTTTTAGGGAGAGACAGTCCCTCATGCATTCCTTGCCCTAACCCACCCCCACATGAAAACAAGTCAGGGGCCCCACTGGCTGAGGCCCCTGGAGTCCAGAGCAGGGCTTGGGGATCCCCAGGGCCTGGTGTCAAGGGTGAGGGACCCTGGGTCTCGGTTACGGGCCTGTGGAGCTGGGTTTGACACACCATGATGAGAGCACACTTGTTCTCAGTCTGAGCACCATAGCAGCCCAGGAAACCAAGAGTGAGGAGCACAGCGCCAGCTGCGATGAGGAAGTAGCCCACGTTGACAAACTGCATGGCACTGGATGATAGTGGCCCGAAGATCTTCATGAAGGATGTTCCGTCGACTGACACCCAGATGCCCACTGCCAACAGGGCCACACCACACAGCTGGAGACAGAGAGGCAGGCCTTGAAACAGTGCCGTCAAGCAGCTCCCTACCACGCAACTGAGTGAGGGAGATGGGAGACGAGAAACTTCCCCCTTTATTGACTATGGAGTCTAAAAACTCATCCTGTAGGGAGGAAAAACATCCATTAGAGCCAGAAAGATGGGAGCTGGAACATCCATAGCCAGCACCAGGCTGCACACCTAGGCAGATATAAATGGGATCAGGGATTCCAGAAATAGCTGAAGGGTGGGGGGAGGGGCAAGGCTTTCCCTCTCTGTTGCCAGGGTCATGCCACATAGCTAGGGGTGAAAAAAGTAGGTGAACATCCCCCCCAGCAGCTTCCCCCTCCCCCCCGCCCCCCTCTCCATTCCCCCCTCCAGGTGCCTGGAACGACTGTCCTCTGATAGGTGGAAACAGGGGGGTGGGAGCCTTGAGCAGTCTCCACAGTCACCATAGCAACAGAGGCATGGCTGAGGTTTACACCTGCTCCCAACATTGGAGAGGGTGGTGGTGAGAAGGGATACCCACCCCAAGGCCCCATTTGGCTTCCCTCCAGAACCAGCCTAGACTTCTCCTTGCCACCCAAGTGGAAACTGAGGCACCAGAGAGGAAGTACAGCCAGAGCTCTTAGGGGCTCTCTGGCTCAACCCCCAGCTCAGAGGGAATCCTGAAGCCTAGACTGGGGAGGAGGGCACTGCCCAGTTCCCACAGCTTAGAGCAAAGCCTTGCTGATCCAGAGCTTCAGTGGATAAATCAGCCTGACACTGCCTAGGTAGGTGTCCAGTCCCTACTTCCCGGCTATGGAAACTGAGGCTAGAACCAGGAGTGAGGTGGCAGATGGTGGGTGGATCCCAGGCATGTTTGCCCAAGGACAGAAAGCTGGGCTTTTAGCCTACAGGGTCAAATTTCAAGGAGTCTGAGGCCTGCCCTGCCCAGTCTGGCGAGGCAAGGGCAACAGAAGCAGAAACCAAACCAGATTTGCCTTTAACCCCCTCGGGCCAGAGCCCCTGCTCTCCAAATCCCTTCAGTCCTGTTGCCTTCTTCAGATACATGGATAAAGTCTAGTTCCCTGAAACCAGAGGAAGCCCAAGGCACAGACCACATCGGAGTCAGAGTTTACTCCCCCCCAGCCCAATTCCTCCAAATTCATCTATACTTCATGTCTCCATTTCCTCCCCTTTCACTCACCCTAACCCACTCTCATGTGGCGCCAAGGTCTCTGGTGACATGTGCTTAGTCATGGGTGGATCCTCTTTGACCTCCCTGATACCTCGCTCGCCCTCCTGGTTTGCTTCCTGCTGCTCTTTCTTCATTTGCTTCCTGGTGGCCATTTCCCTGTTTATCCCTTGTAAGCTGAGTTTCCTGGAGTCCACTCTCCCTGAGTGGTTTCACCCCTCCCATGGCTTCAACAATCACCTATGGGCACATGACTTTCAAATATCCTGAGCTGCAACCCCACTGGGTACACAGCTGCCTGTGAGATATCCCCCAGGTTGTTCTTGCCAGAGACGTGGTCATCATCTCCAAGATGATGTCTCCCTTGCCCCTTCTTCCATCCCTTAGCCACCATCCAAGGGCTTTGTCCTTTGTCCATTTTGTCCATTTCTGCCCATCTCTAGGGTTCATGCCTCATTGCTCAGCTTCCTCAAACATGCCCTATATAATCTGTTCCTGGTTTTCTGAACAATATTTGATTTCATTGCCTTTGGGCCTTTCTGCATGCTTTACCAACCCCCTCACTCAGTGCAAATTCCTAGCCTCAGCTATTTCCTCCTAGAAGTCTTCTCTGACCAGGCAGGGTTCAAGCCCCTCCTGTGGACCCCTGTGCTAAGACCACGTATACTATGTCAAAACTGTCTGCCTATCTGACCGGCTGGACCTGAGATCCCCAAGGGCAGAGAAAGGGCTTGCTTACCTGTCACCCCAGCACTCAGCACAGGGTCTTAGGCAATGTGTTTGTTGAATGAATAAGGGCTGCTTGCAGCTGACACTCTGCTCCGATGTCTCTGGGCCTTCTGTGCTTTTGGTTCCCCATCATACAGAGGCCACTGAATTTCCTTCCACACGAGGTGACCTTGGGCAAACCCCTTCCCCTCACTGGGGCCCCAGCCTGTTAGCCTACTCTGCCCTGCTGTAAGCCTGCCTGAGCTGAAGCTTCCTGGAAGGGAGAGGATGCCCCTAACCTTCTCCACCCCAACTGTGTGGCAGCCAGGCTGCTACTGGGACCAGGACTCAGCATTTGGGAAGACTTCTGCACCTCCTCAACTTGCAGAAAGAATCTGGGCATAGCAGTCTCCTCTTCCCCAGTTCGGGCTCTGCTCAGGTTAAGACCTACTCCTATAGGGAACCCCAAAGAGCCCATAACCCCCACACTTACAAAGATGAGCATATTGAAGAGGATCATCATGGTCTTAATGAAGTTGAAGCACTGCATGGTGGCTCCTGGGAGGCAGATGTGTGTGTTAGGACCTTGCTCCCTGCCCCCACCCCCAACCTGGGCTGACACACCAGACTCCAGCATCCTGGACTCACATAATCACCAAGCTTTTCCTGCATCTGGACTCTGACACCTCAGGACTTTTCCCAATTGCCATCCTGACGCTCCTATCCCTCTGTACTGCCCAGGCCCTCTACCAACACCTGGCACTCTGAAATCCTAACATCCCAGGTTCCTCTACTGGCACCCCAAGCCTGACTCCCACGCTACAGGGTCACTCCATGCCCTTCCCTGGCACCTGTGTATCCTGGGCTTTCCACTCCCCCCGAAACCAATCCTAGACTCTTCCAAGACCCTCCCCATGGCCCTTCCAACTCCCCAAACCTGTTTCCAGATTGATTTCACTTCACGGGATAGTCTCTATCCTATGCCATCACCTGTTCAGGGTTCTTGGTAGTGAGTTCTGAAAGAGGGATCTGCTGAGGCTCCAGAGGGAACTGCAGCTCCGGGGAACTGCCACTGAGTGGGCAGGCGGGGAGACGGAGCTGGCTCTCCACAGCACTGCTCACCTGTGGGTGGGGCAGGTGCTTTAAAGGCCTCCTTCTGCCCGCCCGCCTACCCCACACGCAGCCCGTCCGCCTCCTCCAGCGCCTGCTGCCCCCCTGCTGCCTGGCGCTCTGTCCTCACAGCCCCAGCCGCCTCGGGGCTCCTCCTGGCAACGCCAGCCATGGGCAACGCCCCTCCTGACCTGAAGGAGAGAGAGGTCTGGGGGTGGGGCAAGTGGCCTCCTAGAACTGTGTGCCCTCCACCACGGCAGCGCACAGGCGCTTCCTACCCTGCACCTGCTGATACTGTCGTACACACCCTGCATGCTCGAGGCACGCACATCTGCCCAAGCTGTATATTCAGACACACACACACAAACACCTCCTAGTGCTCTCGAATGCACACTCACACACGCACACACACACTCTGAACTGTGTGGACTGACTCCCAGCAACAATCAACAGAGCAACATCTGAAGTACGTACTGAAACACTCTCTCTCTCTCTCTCTCTCTCTCTCTCCCTCCCTCTCTCTCTCTCTCTCTCTCACACACACACACACACACACACACACACACACTCACGCAGGCATGCCCACACATGCTTTCAAGGCAACGGCCAAGGCTTGGAGTTTTCTGCCCCCTCCTCTGAGTGGCAAACGACTCCTAATCTTCTAGTCTTTTTCTCTCCACAAAACTTCAACCCCACACCATTGTAAAGCAATTATACTCCAACAAAGATGTTTAAAAAACCCAAAAACATTCAACCCATCTTTCTCCTCCCCTGAGTCTTTCCTCCTCACTCTTCTCCCTCCCCACCCTTTCTCTCTCCTCAGTCCTCTCAGCACTCTGCATACACCCCTTCCATTCCTGCCAGCAGGGGGCACCATGGTCACACAAAAGCACTGCCCCCATTCCTCCCCCGACCCCTCCCCACCAAGTTCTACAGCTCGGTAATCCCCATCATCGTCAATCCTTCCGGGGCTGCTGGTCCTGGAGGTCGAGGTGCTGGGAAAGTTCTGGCTTTTAAGTCACTCAGACCAAGTGCTTGAATCCTGGTTCTGTTGCTTATTAGCTGTGTGACCCAAGGGGCATTTCTTAGACTTGGGTTTAAGCCTCTGTTTCCTGGTCTGTATAACAGAGTAGTTATGGGGTTTTCAAGTGGGATTTAAAATGAGATTTTTCTTCCCATTCTGGGACATAAGGGAATGACCACAGAGTGAAAAGTTCAGCATAAGGAGAGTCACAGCCAGAGGGGGTGTGGGATGGAAGATTTTAAAATTTGTTTTGTTTTTATAATGGGAGGAGGCAGTTGAAGAGACAGGAGAGAGAGGAAGGCTGTTAACACTAACATTTGTACATATCATGTTTTAAATGCATCACTTATATAGTAAGTCTTTTTTCTCCTTTCACAACAATCTTATGAGATAAGACTCTCTTTTCATCTGCTTTTTAAATATGGGGAAAGAGAGGCACAGAAGGTTAAGTGCACATTTCTGAATGAATGAATGCTTGCAGAATAGCAGGAGTTAAACGTCTGGGCTTTGGGCCTCGGCCATCCCAGATTTGAATCCCTGCCTGCCTCTAATTGTGTGAGCCTAACTGAGCCTCAGTTTCCTTGTACAGTTGATCCTCATTATTCATGGATTCCATATCTGTGAATTTACCCACTCACTAAAAATGATTTAAAACTCCAAACCAATACTCACAGCACTTTTGTGGTCATTCATGGACATGCGCAGAGCTGCAAAAAATTTGAGTTGTCTACCATGCTGAGGTTGAACAAGGGGACGCTCTGCCTTCTTGTTTCAGCTCTCACAATGTAAACAAGTGTTCTTTTTGCGGCCTATTTAGTGTCTGTCATGTTTTTTGCATTTTTGTGCTTTTTGTTGGTGACTTTGCTATTAAAGACTCCCTCCAGCGTAGTGCTGAAGTGCTCTCTAGTGTTCCGAAGTGCAAGAAGGCTGTGATATGCCTTATGAAGAAAATACATGTGTTAGATAAACTTCATTCAGGCAAACGTTGGCCATTTGTTGGCTGTGAGTTCAATGTTATTGACGTCAATATATTTTAAATGAAGTGGCTTTAACAGAAACACAAATAAACTAGGTTATTGTTCAGTTGAAAAATGTTGTGACCAGAGGTTAGTATGAATCTAATCCTGTATTCCTCCTGGGAGCATTGGCTCAATATTTGCTAATACAGTGTTTGTGGTGACTTTATTAGGGCTAACTACCACGAATAACAAGAATCGACTGTATATGAAATAGGAATAATGACAGAATCTCCTTGTAGGGTTGTTGTGGGATTAGATGAGATTATGTTTGTAAAGGACTTGGCACTGTGTTTGGCACACAGTAAGTACTCAATAAACATTGTTAATGTGGATGAGTGAGAAAATGAGGGAGGAATTTTTTTACTCAGAGTTCCTTTTTTCCAAGGGGCCAAGCTGAGGTTTTCTGGCTCTTTGGCTGGACCCATGGAGAGAATTGTGAGGGAGCCTGGCCCCTAAGGGAGGGGCTGGGGATCAGGACCTGTAATAAACAGCATTACTCTTACATAGACTCTGTATGTCATCGAGGCCTCAGCTGCCCTGGCCAGTAGCACCATCAGGCACATGACAGAAGTTCCCTGCGCCCATGGGGCCTTCTCAGCTTGTCTGTGCCCCTTGGCCCCAGGGCTTGTTATATATTTATTTATTTATTATTTATTTTTGGCTGTGTTGCATCTTCGTTGCTGCGCGTGCGCTTTCTCTAGTTGTGGCGAGTGGGGGCCACTCTCCGTTGCAGTGTGCGGGCCTCTCACTGCGGTGGCCTCTCCTGCTGCGGAGCTCGGGCTCTAGGCACACGGGTTCCAGCAGCTGTGGCACATGGGCTCAGTAGTTGTGGCTCACAGGCTCTAGGCACGTCGGCTTCAGTAGTTGTGGCACACGGGCCCAGCTGCTCTGCGGCACGTGGGATCCTCCCCGACCAGGGCTTGAACCCGTGTCCCCTGCATTGGCAGGCGGACTGCCAACCACTGCGCCACCAGGGAAGCCCGGCCCCGGGGCGTAATTTCCCCCTACCAGAGGCCAGGTATGGGCTGACCTCGGCTCCGGTTTCCCAGGATGTTTAAATGTAGCCGCAGAAGGTACCGGCAGAAATCCCAAGGCCCAGCTGCCACCACTGCAGCCACCAATCTTGCCACCATGGCCATGGATATCAACAACACCCATACTGCCACCACCAGGGTGTGGATCCTTCCACTGCAAGGTTAGCCGAGGGCCCTGAGCCAGGGTGGGGGGTGAGAAAAACGGGGCCACTCAAGTTTTCCCCACATTAGCCCTGTGCAGGCACTGTGGGGGACACACCTTCTGTGAATTATCACCCCAAAGGTATAGTGGGGTCTTGATGGCAGGCATCCCTCAGGCTGAGAGCCTTAACAGAGGATGTATTGGCTGGAAGTGGAGGGCCTGGGGAAACAGGAGAATCGAGGAGCAGTGGAGCTTCCAGAACTTCTGCCTTCCTCACACTCTTCCCTCTCCTTCCTCTCCTCAGTACTCAGACACCTTTGTCAACGTGGCAGCTTTCTGATCCTCTAGAAATGCCCAGAAACTAGTCCAGAAGCTTGGCTGGCTCCGGACCTGCATCTCCTAAGGGCCACGGGTGGTAAACAGCAGACAAATAACAATCCTTTCTGCTCCAACTCTTTACCCCACTCCAAGGTGTTTCCAGCTGACTATGTAGGGTATAAGGGCAGGGTTGGGACTGAATGCTCCCAGGGATAGGCTTCAGCAACAGCAGCAGGCCTCAGAGTAAGACAGTGGAAGGACAGAACAAGGTCAGCAACACACACCGTCTTTGGCCTCAGCTTTTGATCTGGCCTACGAGGTGGGGGAACTTCCTGCCTTGCACTCCCGTCTGCACAGGGAAAAGGATCTCCGGAAACATCTTGGAAGGTATAAGAAGCCAGATCCTTGGAGAGGGAGGTAGAGGCACAGATCAGAAAAGAATAGCATGAAAGACAGATTTCACTGCTCCAGTGTAAACCATGAGTGCCTGAGCGAGAGGTGTATGTGGCTCTGTGTGCCTCTTATGGTCAGTGTTTGTGACACCAAGAGAATGGGGATCTAAGCAGACATGTGGCTGAACATGCCTTTGCAAAGAATGTGCCTCTATTGCCAGCTGTGTGTGTCAAGGTGTGTTTGTGAGCATATGAGCGGGTCGGAGAGAGCGGCATCATCTCCACGAAGAGGAATGAAGGCCAGGAGGCGGGTGCGGGCGGCCGGAAGGAGGAGAGTGTCAGCTTCTGAGCGGGGTGTACCATCTTCAGCCCCACAGCCATTCTCTGAGGTTGGTATTTTCCAGGACTAACAGCTTAGCTGGGGTGTTTGGGGGTGGGGTGAGACTGAGTTAGAGTCCAGAAAGTGGGACTCAGGCCTGGGGATTTTCCACTTGGATTTCCGCATGTGCGCCCATGTGTCATCGGGTGTAACTGAGTTTACGTGGGGTGTGTCTCTATGGAGTTGTGTCTCAGTGGCAGGAAACATTGTGAGGGACTGTGTCTCTAAGGTGTCACTTTATGCACAAGTTAGTGTGTGTCCCAATGTCCTGAGGTCTGGCTCCAGTTCCAGGGCTCCCTTCCTTGAGGGTTGGGGGTGGGAGTGAACACTGAGACCTTTGGCCTGGCCCCCTGGGAAGCCTGTGAGGAGAAAATGAATTCTGTCTGCTTTCATCCACTCCAAGGCTTGCCAGAGACTGGGACCCTGAGAGGAGGAGAGAGGGCAGAGAATTCACTGACACATCATGCCCAGACAGCACTGGCGGAGGATGAGGCTTCTCAGGGTTTAGGGGGAAGGTGCTGAACCCCAGTCAGAGCTGGAAGCTAGCTAGGCTAGTGCCCAAGGCCCACAGGGGGGCCCACACATATAAAGACACATGACAGGAACACATGCAGACATGTAAATACAACTGGACTCACAGATACACAATGCAACAAATTCACGCATGCATACAAGTACATGCCTATAAACATATGTGCACTGACACAAATGCATATAAACCTCTCCACGTGACGCATGTAACAACACATACACGTGCCTACAAATGAGCACACACACACACACATGCGTGCTCCTAGACGCAGCACACAAGCGTATAGACACTTGCAATCACACTCATGCAAACCCAGGTACACACACACATACATGCAAACACACTCGCCAGACTTCCCTGCCTCTGCGGCCCTGGGACCCAGAAGAGCCTCCCTCCCCTATATGAGTGTATGTGTGTGTTTGTGTGCAAGCGCATGCATGCATGCATGCCCACATTTGTGTCTGTGTGTATCTGGGTCTGTGAGAGTGTGTGTGCATTTGTGTGTGTGTGTGTGTGAGTGAGCAGGGTGCTGAGCTGTGGGAACCCGATGACATCAGCTCTTCTGGCTATTTTTAGCTCCCTCTGCAATGATGGCTGCTTCACTGCCCCTCCCCCTCCCAGGTTCCCATCTCTCCTCCCCCTTCAGGCTCCCAGCGGCAGCCGCAGCCAGTGGGCACCCACCACCCCAGTCTAAGTGACCCCCCGGTTGACCGAATACAGTTCATTCTCCCTCACCCCAGTCATAGCTCCCTGGAAGCTGAGAACACCGGGCTCCCAGGCCAGAGGAGGAGGCTTGGGCAGTCTGGCAGCCCAGAGAAGGGGCCTGGGTTAGGTGAGCTGACCTGGCCGGTCTCCAGCCCCTAGGGCGCCTCTCCTTCTGCTTTTCAATCTGAAACTGTGTCTTGGTCAGTAGTGCCTGCTGTGTGCCAGGGAGGATGCCAAATTCTGGGGACAGAGCAGTGAGCATGACAGTGGGCGTTCTTCCTGGCTGGAGTTATGGCTCGGTGGGAGACAGACATGAAACA